TTTCCTTCCACTATATAGTGGTACAGATGGGAAAATATGTTGGCTGAGTGCGTAAAGATCTGGGGCTCAGAGCTGTTCACTGTAGAGCTGTATGCTCTGGCAGATCATCACCCAGAATCTTTAATTAACCTGTAAAATGTGCTGCTACTTTTTAAATTTGATATGAAGATTTACACATCAACACAACACATTGTTGATTGGGTGTTATGAACTAAACCATAAGAAGCAAACAAACAAAATAAGAAACGACTGTAACAGAAAACAGAAAAAAACAGAAAAAACCATTGATGATTCTTCAATAATGGCATTCTTAAAGTCCTCTGCACATTTCCTCACGTGTTACAGGCTCAGTGAACCTGAAATATTAAAGCAGTCAGTTTACATTTTAAGTTGTTATGATTATTGTACTGAATTGCCGTTTTTACAGAGATTTCAGGCAGTTATTCTCTCTCTCTCTCCCTCTCTCTCTCTCTCTCTCTCTCTCTCTCTCTCTCTTTCGCGCCGCGCGCCTGCGCTCGCCCGCAAGCACTCACGCGCACCCCTGGCACGTCACTATTTTCATGAGCCAAGACTTAAAACTTACGATGATATTAAACACGGTTGATTCTGTCGCAGCGTGAAGACGACAAAAAGACTGACTTAAGACCATCTTGACCACCTTATACTAAACGATCGAAATGACCCGACTCTAACAAGACCCTCATGATTTTATCCCGACATGGATGTTTGTCTGCGACAGTGAAATCGCTTGAAAAGTCGTTTGGTGTAAGGCCGGCATAAGACAAACCCAGAGCCGGCGACAAAGGGACACAGCACGGATTAAACCACCCTAAACGTAGTTTACCCGGTTTTGAGTGGCTACAGATTATAGACATATGACAAAAATGCAGTGACTGAAGGGTGAAACTCTGAGGAACCATTTTCAAAACGTTGGATGTTATCTTGTTCCCCTTTTACGAGCCTGACGTTGGCTTAGTATTCGCCCGCTTCTTATTCGACTTTTCCGGTCCACCTTAAGAGATGCAGCAGTGGTCCTAACGGTGCGCCATTTAAGGTGTAACGAAAAACATTGTTTTTGGTTTTTCTTCCCTTTACCGTTTCTAATCACTGTTTATTGCGGTGATGGACGAATCGAAAACGTTTCCGTGCGCAGAGTTTGTGCTCGCGACGGAGGCTGAGCAGCGCTGACATCGTTTACAGTTGGTAATTAAACGAACTCGCACTACTTAAACTCACACTCTCTCCTGTGTTACACACTGCGGTACACACTCCTACATCAAAATGCTCACTGAGCCGATTGAGAGTGGAAGAGTCGACTCCAAGCATTTCGACTCTTAGAGTCACTGGCCAAGAGTCAACTCCGCCTCCCAGGCGTGTTGGGGTCGAAGAATCGATTCTTTTGGAATCGACTCTCCATTACAAAGCTGTCTTACAATAAAGCGCAAGTGCATAACGAGTGTGTTGTCTTGTAAGATTTGGAATAATAACAGTGGCATTTAGCTTTTCAGTACTAAACTTTTTTAAACTCAAATCAAAAGTCTGTTAGGGTTTATAGTGCTGTTTACAACACTATCTACAGCCTACAGGTGTTAAATTGTCCTACGGTAGTTACAGCACTGAATACGGAGCCCTGCTAATGAAATCCCATATAAATAAAAAGAACGCGTGGCCACGACTTAGTAAGGTGTGGGAACTAGATAATTAAGTCATGGCCACAACTTGGTAAAGTGTGGGAACGAGATCCGAATGCATGGCCACAACTTAGTAAGGCATGGGAATAAGATAATTAAGCCTTGACCACAGCATAATAAGGCATGATCTCATTCCCATGCCTTACTAGGTTATGGCCACGACTTAATTGTCTTGTTCGCACACCCTACTTAGTTGTGGCCACACATTAGGATCTCATTCCTACGGAGCCCTGCTGGTGAAATCGCATATAAATTAAAATAATGCATGGCCACGACTTAGTAAGGCATGGGGATGAAATCCTAATGAGTGGCCACATTTTTATTTATACGAGATGTCGCCAGTGGGGCTCTGTATCTGTGTATAAAATTGTAGGTACAATATTTTGACAGCCTAAATCTCTGTATCAGAAAGTGCTACCAGCAGCACAACTACAGGTAGGATATTTAAAACTACAGGTTAGCTTGGGAGGATATTTTACCAGCCTAAATGACTCTATCAGAAAATGCTGCCAGCATTGACATGTATTGGTATGATATTCTGATATTCATCTCCATATCAGAAAACATTACCAACATTAAAACAATAAGTAGGTTATTTTGACACCCTGAGTCACCTTATCAGGGGGTAGTAATATGAAGCTGTACAAGTGACTTAAGGCTGAATGTACGTTTAGAAACACAATAAACCGTTTGAAACATTAACTCCACTGTAGAAATGATATGAAATGATAACAGATTCCCACAGGAACAGGCCTTTTTTAGAACTGACCTGCTGAAAGAAAACACGAATAAACTACAAAATACCATCCACCTGCTTTCCTCTCCTATCAGAAAGCTTGACCATCACCAGAGGAGCTCTGATGAAGTCTAATGGATACATTTATATCTTTCAAACATCTGTTTGAGTTCAGTATCTCTCAGTAACTAAGTTATCCTAACTTGACCCAGGTCTGTTTCTGATCATTTGTGGGCCCCACCTGCCCAATCTTATTCTTATGTATGCAAGAATAGAAAATGAATTACTAGTTAATTCATTTTGATTAGTGAAAAATAAGCAAATCTCTAGACTCACAGTGCTTTTTCTATGAATTATATTGAATGATTTTTCACAAAGTATGTATTTGGGTCCCCCTGGTGGCTTGGGGGCCCTAAACCAGGCATATCAAACTGTACTGTAAGAGAATTTGCTGCAGTAACAGCCTCTACTCTTCTGGGAAGACCTTTCTGAAACATTTGACTGCATTCAGCCTCAGGAGCTTTGCTGAGGTCAGGTACTGATGTTGGATGATTAGTTCTTTCACTCAAACTCATCCCAAAGGTAATGGATGAAGCTCCATCACCTCAGAGAATGCAGTTCCATAGCTCCACAGTCCATTGCTGGGGGCCTTTTACCCCTCTTGCTGACGCTTGGCATTGGGCATGGTGATCTTAGGCTCATGTGCTGCTGCTCCAGAGTGTCCCATTCTATTGACAACACTTTTATGGTGATTATACAAGATGTGTGAGCACAACTGAACACCTGTGTCAGCCATGGGTGCACCTTAAAGTAGCTGAATTAAATTAAAGTGGCTCAATTTAATTAAAAGGGTGTCTGTAAACTTTTGGACATATAATGTATGCAAATTCATAAATGCACTCGATCCACACATTATTATGATGAAGCAGTTTTATAGAACTGGCCTGAACAAACGTTACATGGTTGAATTATGAATATATTCTGACAATTTGGCTCTATAGGAAGCAAAACTTTGACTGGGTGACATCTACCCATGTTACTTAAGAAGAATGGTGAAGAATGCAGGCCCATGAATGGTGAAGAATGCAGGCCCATGTTTACAGGAAAGCTTCCATGAAGTCTCATTCATAGAGCTGTACGCTTTCTTTTACTTCATTGTCTACATTGTTTCTCACAAAGCTGAGGAACAATTAAAGACGAGCAGCCTGCAGTTCGTTTGACCTCTGTAATTGTTAGTGTGAGCATATTTTTCCTTTGAGATACACCCATCTTTGGATAAACAGTGTTGGCTGCACACTAGTAGATAAGACAGATGGTGTCCCTCAGTTGGAGATCAAATTTATAACTGTGTGTAATGACAAACTGTGTAGTTTAAATACAGGCTGCATGAGAAGAATGCTGTGATCTAAGGTGTCCCCAGAGGTAGTACTACTATTACCTCTACATACAAAGAAAAAAAACAGAAAACATTAATATGAAGCAGAGAACATTTGTCTATTCTTTCGTGTTTCTATTCTGTCTGTTGTCTTTGTATTTTACTTGAATAACTTGAATACAAAAACCTTAATGGACTTGAATGGAATCCATGAGCCTAAAACAACATCTTAGGCATTGTAATTATTTCATTTAATTGCTTTCTGTGATGTAACTTTTAGAGGTATTACATTCTTCGGACATCTGGTTCCTTTCTTTAGAATGGAGCATTCACATCAAACCACTCTGAATGACTGAGTGTATTTTTAAGGGGAACCCCACTAATTTAAAAAAATACATAATTAAAGAAAATTAAAGAAGCCCCTAAGAAAACCTATTTTTTCCAGATGTATGCCTATTTTGTCATCAACATTACATAGAAAATACATGTAGGTTAACTGGTGGTTTTGGATAGCAAATAAAATGGTTATATTTGTGTTGTATACATGGCGACCTCTGGTTCCTGTCACCACCACTGTAAGAGTCTGTAAGTTTCTCTACAATTAATCATTTTACATGAAAACCTATCTCTAGGACTAAATTATTCAGAAATTTTGAAGAAATGGTGGAATTCCACTTTGACAATCACTTTGACAATATCCTCTGAGCTAATTCAAATAATGAACAATCATGAACTATTTCAGTTAATGGGCTATATAATTATAGTTAGAATATATATATATATATATATATATATATATATATATATATATATATATATATATATATATATATATATAGATAGATAGATGGATAGATAGATAGATATTCTGAACTATAATTATATAGGCCCATTAACTAGAGAATAGTTAATGATTGTTCATTATATTTGATATTAGCTATATATATATATATGTAGCTATATAGATATATTTAGCTATATATAGCCCATACTGATAGTATGATATATTAATATATATATATATATATATATATATACACACTTTCTGCCAGTAGGCGGTATAAGCAGTAATAATACTTCTTACAACACCAGCTACTATCAGTACTGGTTCTACTGACGCCTCAACGAATCGAGAATCGGTTCTTTTCCGGTATCGACTCCCTAGCTTTCCGAGTACATACGGGTCCTCTCCTCGTCACTGACAGGGACCACCTCACATGCGTGCTGCGTTCTCTCTGGAGTAGAAGCGGCGAGAGGCTTTAGCTTCGGCGCGGATGGACCGGCAGGATTGGTAGAAATAAATAAAACAAACCTCGATATTTCTTCGAATTTCGTCCTGCTAGCGAGCCGCGACAATGCCGGCGTACTTTCAAAGACCGGAGAACGCTCTGAAAAGAGCTAACGGTGAGCGCACCCTTCCAGTCTCTCCTAGCTGGTAGCTGCAGCGTGGTTGGGGCCGGGCGGTGTTCCAATTCGCGCACTAGCCTTCTATCTAGACTGCTTGGTTAGAGCGCGGAAGCCGTAGTTCTACGCACTAGCCAGGCGTCCTAATTAGAACTCAAGTGCGCGAATTGGAGTGCAACCCATGTTTCTTCACTAAACCAGGCCGTATGTCAGCAGTTTTAGCATTTTAGCGCGTATGTTCGCACTTCTCCCATCCACGAGTAGAGCTACTTTGTTCCTAAGGCGTACATATATAAACATAATGCTGAAGCTTTTGAGTTTTTCTTGTAGTAACGAGATCTGTTAAAGCGTCTGTTCTCTCGAGGATACCCTGTTAGCATTTCGTAGCTCGCTAACTCAGCGCGGGGACTTTAGGCCACAGTCTGTCTGCGTGGTCCTTTTTTTGTTAACATAGCTAAGCTAGCTCGCCTCTTGGCTGAGTGCGTCGTTAATCTTATCCAACATTGCCACATATTTTATGCATAATTAACAGTTTTCATGATAATCAGTGTGTTGCTATGGCTTAAATGGTGTAAGATGTGGGTAGTTATGTACGTAAAATGCAAGAGATTGATTGGTAGCCTGTTAATGCTGCGAGACTTTGTGTAATTGTGTGTATATATTTTTATTTATGAACGTTTATTGTTTTTTTGACAACACACAAACACGTTCAGATACATGGAGACACAGATGAATGGGGGTTATTGTTGCAGTGGTATCTACGTCAGGCCCATATTCAGCAACACACAGTAGCAGTGAAATATAAGAGAGATTAAGTCACTCACAGCCTACAACTCTTCGACCAAAACAATAGTATTTGACAATTTCTGAGTTGTTCCTGTCTTAGCCTTGTGAAATCTGTCTGTGGCCTGCGCCAAAATGAGAATATCCGAAAAAAATAGGAATGCTAATATAAAGATAATATCTGCCATAAACCAGCCCTTCAAAATGTTGTATATAATACTGTATGTAAAATATTGACATTTTGGAAACTGTTAAAGATGTTATTAGACGTTTTTTCCTTCTTCTGTAAATTTCGTTCCCAAACGAATATCAGCATTTAAGAGAACCTTTTACAGTTGTTAATAGCTTTTAATTTTTCAAGTCCAGTAATTTTTTGTTCATTTTTCAGTAGGGTGATTTGTTTGGATGTTAAATTGTCAGGGAAACATTAGTCGTAGGTGCTGGTATGACCAGTCTACTCCTTACTGTATTAAAGTGGAAAATTCAACAGAATTTTCAGAATTTCTGCATGTGATATCAATCAGATGTGAACAGCTGAAGCCATTTAAAATGCCTGGATGTGAAATGTGTCATTAAAGAGAAGCTTATGATTTTGTTTACAGTGGTGGTGGTGGTGGTGATGGGAACCAAGGGTTAAAATGTGCATAACGCTAATGTACCCATTTTATTTACTATCCAAAACGACCAGAGAACCTAAACGTTTTCTCTTTATATGTGGTTTTATATGCAACATTGATGATGTTAATCTCTCCACCAAGAATAAGTGGGGAAAAAAAAGTTTAAAATGTTTTAGATAAAAACTATTATGACAATTATCAGACTGTTCATAACAACTTAATGTAAAAACTTTGTGAGGTTGCTTTTAGAGGTGTTAAACACTTTAGACGTCTTTGTTCCCATCACCAGTATGAACAGTTCTGACCGGTCAAGTTCCTTCAGAATAGGCATGTTTCAGTCAAACCGCTCTGAATGAATGTTTACATCTTAATTTATTTAATGCAGAAGTTTTGAAAATTTTATGAAATTTGCTGATTAATGGCAAGTTTTTGCAACACAAAAACCCTCATTAAAGCCTGTGAATGACTGACCGCTTCACTAATGACATCTGTTTTTTGTTCAGAGTTTCTTGAGGTTGGCAAGAAGCAGCCAGCTTTGGATGTGCTGTACGATGTCATCAAGAGCAAGAAGCATCGAACATGGCAGAAGATCCACGAGCCGATTATGCTCAAGTACCTGGAGCTCTGTGTGGACCTTCGCAAGAGCCACCTGGCCAAAGAGGGCCTGTACCAGTACAAAAACATCTGTCAGCAGGTCTGATAACAGCTGTTCACTATCACAACTCTGTGTCTGTTGATCTAATGTTATTAGTATTATAATCTCTTTGTGTGAAAGAAATATAAAGTCCTTTATTGTCTGCCTGTTATTCTGTATAATCATGCACCGTTTTGCAGCACAGCTTTGTGGGGTTGTTAAACATTTCAATTCTGTGAGGCCTATAAGGTTTTAAACTAGTAAAAACTGCATGTTTTGTATGTATATTGAATTTAGTTTACATAAATCAGCCTGTACTGCGTCTGAATGCAGTTATATTGATTACATTTGTTTAGTAATGTAATAGACAAAGCACTGTTATGCTTCCATAATATATAAATGGCATTTAATTGATAAAGGTAATGGTTAAAGATGAGTTGATTGTTGTGTTACATTTTTGCATTGTTATAAATCAACATACATCAGACTAATAAGGGCTCTATGCCAAGATAACATAAGTATGTACTATCCAAGAGTAAAGTAGATTGCGCTAATTGCTTTCTGCCGAGCTGTCAGTTAGTATTGCATCATGATGATCATTGTTTAATATAAAACTGGGAAATGGAGAGAAAAGTTATTGCAGTTAAAACTCGTGATATTCTAGCAGACCTTGTGTTTTAGTGCCCTCTACTGGAGCAAATAGGAGTTACGCTTTGTTCCTGGTGTGTGGGTTTCCTTAGGCGTGTCGCATGAGAGATATCCTCTTTCATTTCAGGTGAATATAAAGTCTCTGGAGGATGTGGTTCGTGCCTACCTGAAACTGGCTGAGGAGAAGACTGAGACAGCCAAGGAGGAGTCTCAGCAAATGGTGTTGGACATTGAGGACTTGGATAACATTCAGACCCCAGAGAGGTCAGCAGAGCAAAACAATAAATATGAGGTTGAAGTGAATTTTAGAGCATACAGACCCGGAGTGTTTAAAGGAGTCCTTATCAAATGAACAGCTTTGCTTAGCAGACCACAAAGTTCAGACCTGTGAAGTGACCATTGAGTGGGCTTCTTTTGTGTGTTATCAGTGTGCTGCTGAGTGCAGTGAGTGGGGAGGACACTCAGGACCGTACTGACCGCCTGCTGCTCACTCCTTGGGTCAAGTTCCTGTGGGAGTCATACCGCCAGTGTCTGGACCTTCTGAGGAACAACTCCAAAGTGGAGAGGCTGTACCATGACATCGCTCAGCAAGGTCAGCACAGAGTTTCATGTCGTTTTAGCTGGCGTCATCCGTTCATGATGCTGCTTAAAGCATAGAGAATGGTTATGTGAATTGTTTGTAGTCATATCACGAAATACATATTTGCAGATTTGGTGTGGTGTGTAGTATCTCAAGTGGTCAGTTTGACTATATGCCTGGCTGGGTGGGATATCCAAGTAGTTTAAAGCCATAATAAGGACTTGGATATTTTATTTTGGACCATCCCTGCGAAAGGGTCATTTGTAATAAGGTGACTCTTTATGCTGTGGTCATTTAATCTCTCTCTTTGTCCCCCCTAACACAGCTTTCAGGTTCTGCCTGCAGTACACCCGTAAGGCAGAGTTCCGCAAGCTCTGTGATAACTTGCGTATGCACCTGGGCCAAATCCAGAGGCATCACAACCAGAGCACGGCCATTAACCTGAACAACCCCGAGAGCCAGTCCATGCACCTGGAGACTCGTCTGGTGCAGCTGGACAGCGCTATTAGCATGGAACTGTGGCAGGTGGGTCAATACAGTGCTAGACCAGGTGGCAGTGTTTTTGATTAAGTTGTGAGTATGATTTTAAAACCTTAAAAGTTTAAATGTTGAGCCTTTACATTTACACATTCTTACAAAACCATACAGAGTAGATGGTTATACTGAACTGGCAGTTTATTAGGTGCTTTGTATCTATACTTCTTTCATAAGAATAAGAAACACCAGCCATGTAGGCTTACAGTTTCTCATTGAAGCGCAACTGTTTCTGCAGAGGGCCCCCTCGACCCTGTTTAGCAGTAGAGCGGGACCACCATAGGAACATCACCGACTAGATAATATTTAGGTGGTGCACCATTCTCAGCACAACAGTGACGCCAACATAATGGCATGTTAGTTGGTGTTGTGCTGTAACAGGCTAATTTGGCACAGCAGCAGTATACCTGAGTTGCCTAAACTGGCAACGTCCTGTATAAATATGGGGCATTTAAGTTTGTTTGTATTAGTTTGTGATGATGGATGGTCAAACAGTATTTGTATACTATCTGTGGTTAGATGATTTTCAAACGTGTCCACATATTTACTGCTTTGTTTTCAGAAAATCCCACTTGCTAACATGTAACTGACTATATTTCAGGAAGCTTTCAAGGCAGTAGAGGACATCCATGGGTTGTTCGCTCTCTCTAAGAAACCTCCAAAGCCCCAGTTGATGGCCAACTACTACAACAAGGTGTCCACAGTGTTTTGGAAGTCTGGTAATGCTCTGTTTCATGCCTCCACCCTGCACCGGCTCTACCATCTCTCCAGGGAGATGAGGAAGAACCTTACCCAGGAGGAGATGCAGAGGTGAGCTTTGAGGTTTTTTGTGCTGTTCTATAATTTTGAATTTGGGCATGAAACATTGTGTGACACATTTCAGTTGTTTCCTTATTGTATTGGGGTTTGTAATCTCTAGTGGGAGGAGATTAACGGAGCTTTTTTTATTATGCTATTAGGAGATTAATTAGGCTACTTGTCATTCTTTCTTGCGCTGAAAGCATGAAATATAAAAAGGCTTTTTAGATACAGCGTGCAGTCTGTAATGCAAAGTTCAGATATTCAGAATTTATTTTTAATTAGTGGTCAGAGATAGCAGATACAATCATTTCTAAAATCATCTTTGAATCCATAGGGTAATTATTAAGTCTATGGGAAATGGTCAGTTCTTAAATCTTCTTCTTTTTCTTCTTCTTCTTCTTCTTATTATTATTAAATATATATATATATTTGTTATTTCCAGGATGTCAACACGCGTCCTCTTGGCCACTCTGTCCATTCCCATAACCCCTGAGCGCACTGATATCGCACGCTTGTTGGATATGGATGGCATCATCGTGGAGAAACACCGCAGACTGGCCACTTTGCTCGGCCTGCAGTCCCCACCCACTCGCCAGAGCCTTATCAATGACATGGTAACCTAGAATCAGCCAAATAAATGCTCATGCTCGCGTAATGCTTAAACATAGGCATCTGGAAGATTAACCACAAATCCTACTGCGATACTCTAAAAATAATTCAAATTTGTAGGAGGTTCAGATTCTCAAAGTTCATATATAATGCATTACAGTATGATGGTGATTCCGTAGATTTCACTATTCAGCAAGAAAGTGTTTTGTGTTATGTTAACATTTCCGTTTTTAGTTAATTGAAGCATTTAATGTTATTGAAGCACCATATTTGAGTCTTGCTTGATCAGAGCTTTGCCTGATCCATTCAGTCTGGTGCCTTGGCAGCAAGGAGATGCTACGCAAACATGTTAGCCATGATACAGTTATACAATACGATGTCTTGTATTATATTGCATCATGCAATAACGTTGATTATTATTATTGCTGTGATACAGTCTTATAGAAATGCAGATGTAGGGTGAAGGGTTGTTTTGTACATTTCTTGCATATTGTATTTGAATTTCTATCCATATTCCATGCTAGTTTCTGAAATTCTGGAATACATAGACATCACCTTATACCTGCTGCTAATACACATCTGGCTGTCTTGTTTCCGCAGGTGAGGTTCAATCTTCTCCAGTACATTGTTCCTGAAGTCAAGGAGCTGTACAGCTGGCTGGAGGTGGACTTCCATCCCCTGAAACTGTGTGGAAGAGTCACCAAGGTAATTCCCTGATCCTCATTTGAAGTCTGTAATTTTCTCAGTGATTCTTTAGGTGATGAGACTAATACAGAATCCTGCCTTTTTTTAGGTGTTGAGCTGGGTGAGGGAGCAGGCTGAGAAGGAGCCTGACTTGCAGCAGTATGTTCCTCACTTGCAGAACAACACTATCCTCCGTTTGCTGCAGCAGGTTCGTATTCTGGCTTTCTAACCTAAAAACGTAACTATGTACCTCAAAGCTTCATCATTTAATTGTTTCTCTTATGTGGAAGACACGCTCTCTTCAGTAGAGCCTTTCTCTGGTGCTGATTGTATGATTTGATTGTGTCAGGTGGCTCAAATCTACCAGAGCATTGAATTCAGCAGGCTGGCCTCTCTCGTGCCATTTGTGGATGCCTTTCAGCTGGAGCGCTCCATTGTAGATGCTGCACGCCATTGTGACCTGCAGGTACAGTATGCTGTGGGATGATGGCATAGAGAGTGTTGGTTGGGGGCATCGAACATGAATAACTGTCATTAATAGGTATAACTTTGTAGTAGACTGTAGGTTTTCTCATTTTAACGTAAGGCGCATGACATATGTCTATATCGATGTTTGCAAAATAACGGCCAAATCAAAATCTGCGTTTGATATGGCACCAGATCTTTTCATATCCGTTTGATGTTGGTAATTGTAATTGTATTTCCTAGTGTTCAGTTATAAGTCTTCGTAGTGATTTAATTCTTGACAGAAACAATAAAACATACATTACAAAGATTGTAGTGTTATATATTTTGTTTGTCGGTATAGAACATAAGTACGTATAAATGAAGAATATAAATGAAAATGTTCATTTTGAGGATGTTGAGTCAGCCTTTTGGGGCCCTTTGATAACATTTGAGAAGTCAGATTGTGAACTGAGTTGATTGTTATTCGTGTTCTGCTTAGACTGCAGTCCAGATTTCATTCATGTGTGACCCTTGTTCACTGTTACTTTTATTTTCAGGTGCGCATTGACCACACGTCCAGAACGCTGAGTTTTGGCTCAGACCTGAACTACTCTACTAAAGAAGATGCACCTGTGGGGCCGTTCCTGCAGAACATGCCTTCTGAACAGATCCGTAACCAACTGACAGCCATGTCCTCCTCCCTGGCCAAGGCTATTCAGGTCATCAAACCTGCTTCTATTCTGGTAAGAAAACGCTGTTAGTTTCTTTCATAGAAGTGTCTTCCTTGCTTCACTGTATTGTCTTCCTTATGTTCCCAGTGAGTTTTTGTTGTATTTATTCTGCATGCTGTCTGCTTTCAGCTTGTGACATAAAATTACAGGGAATGTTGCAATACAACAGCTGACATTACAGCTCATGTTACGTTAAGCCAACTGGCCACTTCTGAGTGAATGTGTGTAAGGAAACTTGTGCAGTGTAGGTTTTAGAAGTTATTCTGTAGGTCAGCAAGTAAATATACATCTCAAGCACAGAGATAATCACTAAAGTAACCTGAATTATCAAGTACGGAACTGCTTTGCATGTGCTATTCTAATACCATTTGTTTAAAAATAAATAGCAAAAATGGTAAATTCTCATCCATATCCACCCTTTATTTTTTGTTGCCGTCAAACCTCACTCCTGTATCCTCTCCTTGCAGCAAGAGCGAGAGGAGCATCACCAACAGGCCATCGCAGCGTACCTGAAGAACGCCCGCAAGGAGCACCAGCGCATCCTTGCTCGTCGCCAGACCATCGAAGAGCGCAAGGAACGCCTGGAGAGTCTGAACATCCAGCGAGAGAAGGAGGAGCTGGAGCAGCGCGAGGCTGAGCTCCAAAAGGTGCGGAAGGCTGAGGAGGAGCGTCTGCGACAGGAGGCCAAGGAGAGGGAGAAGGAGCGCATCATGCAGGAGCACGAGCAGATCAAGAAGAAGACTGTGCGCGAGCGACTGGAGCAAATCAAGAAGACCGAGCTGGGAGCCAAGGCCTTCAAAGACATCGACATTGAGGTGCAAACCGAAGCGCTTAAGGATAGATTTGTGGGCCAGTTGTTTTACTTCATGTATTAGGGCTTCACAATGTGGCTGAAATTGCATGTTAGGATTGTGTTGCTACATATTGTGATTACAGTTAAGGACTGTTAAGAGTTAGCGTGCGTTACTTTAGACCAAAATAGCGTCTATAAAAGCTCATTTGGAGTGTCTCAGGGTGCTTACAGCGCACGATAGAACAGTTAATGATTGATAATTGGTCTCTTTTGCATGCTGGAGCCTTCTGCCATAGTGGTATTACAAAGGCCAATATCATAATAAACAAAGGATGTATTGTGCACCTTTATTGTGCATCTAGTTTATCATGGTAGGTAAGTGCATTGTGTTGTGTCTGAGGGTGCAGAGGCCGTATTACAGAAACATCATATCTTTTTGTCTTAACTTAAGATCTGACAGGTCAAGATAAGATTTTTCACAAATTTGCATTACAGAAGCGAAACTTATCTTAATTTAGGAATCTTATCTTAGCATCTTATCTCAAGTTAAGAAATCTTAACTAACTTGATCGAAGTCGACATTCAACTGTCATGTCTGTTACCTAGCAACCGACCATACACGCACAGCTGAAACGTAAACACATAAAGTAACGTTAATCAAGCTAGTTAGCCAGGCAGCTAACATTAGGTACCGTTACCGAGGTAAAAAAGGTCAAACCAAATTAAAGCACGATAAAAAAGAATATCGTATCAGTGCTTTGTGCTGTTTTTCAGAGCGTTGCCCTGCTACCGTTTCAGCTTCATTTCCCACTTAAACTGACCGCGCTAACATTATCCCTCCTAATAAACACACATGTTCAGCTCTGTCTCCTCATTATTCACCACCATCATGGTGACATTGTATCTGACAAGTTTTTGTCAAACGTTAACACACAAAGGCAATAAGAGGGACGGTGGAAATCGTGTTTGCAGCGTCTGGGTTTTTAAAACGTTAGAAAAAAAAATTTAGTCAAAAACAGTTTTCAGTAGATAAATGTAGCGTCATTATGCCAGTTATAGTGAACTGTGCTGCCGGTCACTGCATAAAACAATTGAACAGATGGTTAAAATAGAAGTTAAGACACCTCTGGGGTTTATCTTAAAGTTAGGACAGTATTTAGGAAAGTTAGGATGTTTGTATAATACTGTTATCTGGAGTTAATGATAAGATTATGAACTTAAGAACTTTTGTTCTGTAATAGCTTCTGTCCTAAATTCAGTCCTACCTAAAGTTGTCATGGTGACTAAACAGATGAGATTTTAGACTTAAGACGTTTCTGTAATACGGCCCCAGGTGTGTACTTCATGAATCGTACCTCCTTTAGACTTCCAGTCTTTTTTGGTACAGAATTTCTTTTTTTCTACTTGTAGCTTTTTACAAAGCCAAAATTATATTTAGGCCACAAACTTTTTAAGAACCATGTAAACTCCATAGCTTATCATTTTTGTTCCTTTGTCTGTTTTTTGTGCATCTTGACTTGTTTTCAGTTGCATGTTTGACTTAAGGAGTGACACTGTATGAGTTTTAACAGTATCCGTTAGCATTTATGTGTTGACTCTTTCTGCTTCTCTGTGTAGGACTTGGAAGAATTGGACCCAGACTTCATCATGGCCAAACAGGTGGAACAGTTGGAGAAAGAGAAGAAGGAGCTGCAGGAGCGCTTGAAGAATCAGGAGAAAAAGGTAGGTTTGTTCTGCGTAGATTAATAGCTTTAGTTAACACAGGTTGACTTTGATGATGTAGATCATGTTTGTTCTTATTATTGTAATGATTCTCTCAAAATGTAGCTGGGTTAATTTAATTAAAAATAGGCAGACTTCATACGGTCGAACACTGTCAAGACGTATAATTTCTCAAACTTTTCCATGATTTTTGTGTTTCAGATTGATTACTTTGAGAGGGCCAAGCGACTTGAGGAAATCCCCCTGATTAAAAAGGCCTATGAAGAACAACGTGTCAAAGACATGGAGCTGTGGGAGCTCCAAGAGGAGGAGAGGGTAAGACCTTGCAGTCTAACACAGAACTAATGATACAAGGCTGTCTGCTTTGTGCAAACTTTTTGTTTTTGTGCTTGAAGCAGACCGAGTCAGGAGTGCTCTGCTTTAATGTAATGTTCTTAGACATGGAAAAAAAAATCACTGCCCTGAGGGAAGCAGGGAAGCATCTTATCCTGCCATTCTGGAGAATTTCAGCTGTCAAGCTTCTTTAATTAAAGTAGCCTCTGATAAACTGTGACCTTTACTTCTTGTTTTTCGTGCTTCGGCTCTTGGAAATTGATGTGTTTTTGTTAATCACTTATAGGTCCTGGAGTCATTTTGCCTGTCACGTTAGCACTTTGCTCTCCTGAGAAATTTATCAGTCAGACTGAATTATACTGTGCTTTGTTAGAGAAGATAACGGAAATGCTGTCACTCTAGTGTATTGGTATGTGAGTCGTAGCTGCAGAAGATGCAGAGGTTGATGTGTTTTTAAGGAAAGTATCTGATACCCTATCTAGTTTGTGAGCTTTTGTTTGATACAGACAAATCTAACTCATTTTGACTTTGACTCTGAGAGAAAATTAAGAGAATGATGGCTTTTAAGGAGTTGACTAGTCAGTATATTTCATGACGTGTGATGATACTCATCTGTGTTACAGATCAGCAACATGAAAGTGGAGCGTGAGAAGGCTCTGGAACACAAGAAGAGGTTGTCTAGAATGGTAGAAGACAAGGAGAACTTTGTATCTAAAATAACAGCTGCCCGAAGCTTCATCTATGAGGTAAAAACAAAACCTTATTATGGAATTATAATTATGGAGCCTCACTCAGCTACTAGTCATTGGTCACTAGTGCTCAGGTATAGTCCTACTAATAGTGTGTGATCTGTTTCAAATTCACTTGTGATCACTCTTAAAACTGTATTTGTTTGTTGTGCTTTTAAAAAAAATTAAATATGTATTTTAAACCTTCACTAAGGAAAAACTGAAGCAGTTCCAGGAGCGCTTGGTAGAGGAGAGGAAGAAGCGCCTCGAGGAGCGTAAAAAACAGCGTAAAGAAGAGCGAAGAAACGCCTTTTACCGGCAGAAAGAGGAGGAGGCCCAGAGGATTCGTGAGGAACAGCTGAAGAAAGGTACTGCAGACCTTGTCAAAAAGTCTACAGTATTCACAGGAATTAGGATGTCTTGAAAGAAGGATAAAAGCAGATTAAAAAGCACAAACATAAAATGTGTCTTGTGCAGAAGTAATGGCTCAATTTGTTTTATTTTTCCAGTAGATTAAACTCAGCAAATAAATAGAAATTGTACACAAAAGCGTGCAGGAAAGTGCCATATTTAAGTGTCTCATTTGGCCACATTTGTGGCAAAACCCACCAGACCCTAGTTTGGGAGACTTATATGCTGATTAGTTGGTCCAAGCAATTGAGAGCAGGGAATATGCAGGGCAGAGGTAAACAGGGTTGGAAACCCAGGCACTAGAGTTGAAGTGTATGCACCAGACTGTGTTGGCAGTATTTCTTTGTTAGATGACAATTTAATTTGTAAAGGTAAAACTGTTCATCACGTTCTGGTCTGTATGAGTTCTCATGTCTGTTGTGTGTTTCAGAGCGTGAGGAGCGCGAGCGCCTGGAGCAGGAGCTGAGGGAGGAGGAAGAGCGTGAGTACCAGGAGCGCCTGCGCAAGCTGGAGGAACAGGAGAGGAAGCAGCGTGCCAGGCAGCAGGAAATTGAGGAGCGCGAACGCCGCAAAGAGGAGGAGAGGAAAGTGCCAGAGGAGAAGGGCAGCAAAGTAAGTACAAATGCACATTCACCCTCTGTCACTGGGCAGACGTTTGTTTGTTTGAACTGCACAGGAGTCACCCATCTCATCCATTGGGGGCTGGTGTGCCTGCAGGTTTTCAGTCCAATGAAAAATCTAAATCTTCAGATTTAAAGAGTACAGAATGAGAGTGGTAAATCTGGGTACCATGGGTTTAAAGCAGGTCCTGACCATTAAAACACATGGAGTTCCCACTGACTTTTCAGTAGAATTCATACCAATAAAGCACTAAGTTGGAGGGTCGCCTTATTGTCACAAACCTCTGTGAAGAAATTGTCAAGAATAAATCATTTCTATTCACATAGCACTAAAATACAGGCTGACCACCCCTGCCCCCATGACCCTCCAGTGGCACAGAAGAATATAGAAACTACAAGTTTCTTTGGGTGTGTGCTGTTTTTGAGTTTACTGACCATTCGTAGTATTTGATTGTGTCATTAAGAAGACCACATCGCTATGTTGATAGGCAAGCTGTAACTCTGACTCTGCTCTGATGGACCTCATCTCATCACTGTTACTGCAGCTACAACCCTGCAGGTGGTTGAAGTCCAAAAGCAAAGTAGCAGAATAACATGAAAAGATGTGTCAGAGGCCGTCTCCAGAAAATGCTACGCGGAGAGAATTAGCGAGATTCTTGGACTGGATCGATGTAGCCTGCACATCTCCAGAGTCCCAATCCGTGAGATTTTACAAAGACTGATAAAAGTGGCTACCAAAGCCTCCAAAGCTCTTAAATAGTAAACTCATATATAAAGCTGAAGTTACCTTCTTATTCGCCAGCTTCTCATTTGAATTTTTCTTTCCATTTTAAATGGTGCTGCAGTTACACTGAGGTGCCTGAAATGTAGAACGACTTACAAATCTTGGTGAATACAAAGCCAACATCAGCTTTCCTCAATAAAAGCATTAATTTACCTCAATAAATGTGTCCTTAATTAACAAATACCTTAAACTTTCGCTTGGTAATGTTTACTGAGCAGCTGACGTGCAGCACAGTGAAGCAGCTGTTTAACGCGTCTCACTGGTTGATGTCCCAAACCACACACTTCTGTACTTTACCTGCTACACTAAATGCCCTTCTAATGTTATATGCATTGTTTTTATACACTATTTAGTGTATATACTAGATGCAGTTTGAGATCCTAGTAACTCGATCAGCAGGAAATCTCAGCCATTTAGATTTCAGCTCACTTGTTATCACTACAGCAACAATAAGGTATTAGACTTCAGTATATTGGTTAATACACTTTAAAAACAAGTTTAAATAAGTGATTTAAACAAACGTGTTTTACTGCCTTTGCTGGATCAGTTATGGCTTTATCTCATTACAAACCGCCACAGCACTGCTGAAACAACTTAATGTTGCCTACCAAAATGGTGGCAGTGCGATTGTGACGTCATCCAAATCTGTCAGTTCAGTTCACAGTTAACGGACAGTCACATCGGTCAGTAAAGCACTGTTTAACTATTACTATCAGGATATAAGACTTAAATCTAAAGTACATGTTCACTGCATGATTTGTACCTTAGTATTAGAATTGTTTTAGGATCATAATCTTCAGAAGTAGCAGTGAGGGGTCTTGGCGTTCATTTTGGTCAAACCTTCATATCGTTTTGATTCTACATTCGGTTAATGATTTTAGTATGATAGTGTTGCATGTTCATGTAATAAATCTTTGTTCAAGGATGAAATGTTCCCTCTGTTTTTCCACTGACATAATCAGTTGTCAATGTCTCTCTGTCGTTCTTTAAAGGACTGGGGTGAGAAAGAAGAGGGTGGCTGGAGGAGGCGTGGAGAAGGGGAGTCAGAATGGCGACGCCCCGTTTCTGACAAGTAAGTAAAAAGTAAACCGGTGGCTGCTTTCGGGCTTTGATTGTTTCTGAATTCAAATGACATTTTAAGGTATTTAATAGAGGTTCTGCCATCTGTTTTGCTGCTTGGTTTCATGAGAAATTTGTCATTGATTTGCAGGCCAGATATTCCTCCAAAGTGAATTGTACAGTCAGCTATGGAACATGAGTTATTAACCTGGCCATGCTAATGGAATTTAACCCAAATTGTGCCTTGGTGATTTCAAGTTGTTTTGCAATGTCTGAATTAACTCAAGAAGCATCACTTATTTTGTGATGTTATCCTTTGGAAAACTACATGTGAAGAAAAGCATTAATTAAACCACTGAAGGTCCTTCACTGTTGGGAGAATGATCAAAAAATACCTTGGAGGGTTTAGAGACATTTTTAAGGGGAAACAGAAAAAACAAAGCTCTATGAGGTGATATTGTGTGGTGATTTACATATTTGGGACTTACGGGTCTTGGTTATGTTGCAGACTTGCATCAAGGCAACAACACTCTGTCGGTTTTATCAACCATGCTGTTATTCTCTCTGGCTCTAGTCTTGTGATCTCCTGATCCTCCTATTTATATAATATTAAATGTGTTTGAAAAGCAGGGACTGGCGTCAAGAAGGCCGTGAAGACAACGACCGTGAGGAACGTGAGCCGCCCTTCCGAAGAGGAGGTGATGGCCCCCGTCGTGGAGGTTCTGATGACAGAGGCCTCCGTCGTGGCTTTGAAGACGAACGAGGTCCACGGCGCAGCGGTGATGATGATCGTGGACCACGACGAGGCTTTGATGATGACCGTGGACCCAGACGGGGCTTTGATGATGACCGCGGCCCCAGACGTGGCTTGGACGACGACCGTGGCCCCAGACGTGGCTTGGACGACGACCGCGGCCCCAGACGTGGCTTGGATGACGACCGTGGCCCTAGAAGGGGCTTTGATGATGACCGCGGCCCCCGCCGTGGCGTGGATGAACCCAGAGGCCCTAGACGCGGTGCCGATGATGACTGGGGCCCCAGGAGAGGAGGTGATGATGAGAGAGGAGGCCGTAGAGGCATGGATGATTCTGCTCCACGCCGCGGTGATGACTCCAAGCCATGGAAACCTTCAGGTAGACCAGGTATATGTCCCTAGGGTGTCCTTTAAGAGACAGAATATTGTGTGGGGTTGGAGTTTTCGAGGGCAGGTAACACTTGACCAATATGGGTTATTGCTAGTTAAAATGCAGATCAGATTATCCAGTCAAAACTTCTTCACTGTACTGTGAGGCTAAATTTGCCACCCCACAACTGGATAAAGCATGAATAGGGTGTGGTGGAATTGCAAGTGGATGTGTACCTTTGCATGTCTGGTGCTCTTTAACACTGCGTTCATATAGCCATCCTTGTGACAAGGTCAGGTATGTATCTTTACACTGATGCTGAAAGCTGTTTTCTGTAGGAGGGTGGAGAGAGAGGGAGAAGGCTCGTGAGGAGAGCTGGGGTCCTCCCCGTGAGTCTCACGGTCATGATGATGATGATGATCGTGAGGAAGACCGCCATGAGGGAGACCGTTACAGAGACCGTCGTCCACCCAGGTACTTGGAGAACCTGTTCCTTTTATAAGGTCATTATTTGCACACTGCGTAACAGTAAAACTAGTTTGCCTGGTTTGTTTCATCTGTATAGATGATTTAAACCTGTGATTTTGAATATTCTAATCCTCTTGGTGGTATTTATGTGGGGATTCGTGGTGTTTTTTTGTTTTTTCCTTTTCATTGATATGTCAATTTTATTCTTGTGCACACAGGGAAGAAGGAGGCTGGAGGAGGGGTGGTACTGATGAGTCATCCAGCTGGCGTGACTCTCGTCGTGAGGACTTTGACAGAGATGAGCGCCGCGATCGACGTGATATGAGAGACCGCAGAGACGACCGTGAGCGTGACCGTGATCGTGAACATAGAGGCCCCCCCAGAGAACACGATGATGGTGAAACCCTTGTATTTCTTGGCCGTATCTATTTAAAACCTGTGCTGTCCCAAGAGGTCACATTTTTAAAAGCTAGTAGTGCTAGTATTTCACAATGTCCTTTATGAGCTTAGTAGCTAGAATCTGTTAGTCATTTCAGTGTAATTCAGCAAGACTGTCTTGGCTCTTATCATAATAAAACTCTGGAGGTTGTACTACTTACTTACTTGGTTAATACCTAAAACCTGTTGGACATTTCAGTGCAATTTAGAGTTAGTCCTGAAACTTCTATCTAGTACCTAGTGTCTAGTTGGTACCTCACAATTAACTTGTTACTACCTATACGTTATGGTGCTCTAAAAGAAAGCATTACCCAAAAGACGTTTTTGTTTTTTTATATTGCAGTAAAGCAATAGAAGCACTATCACCCTCTACACCAGTGGTTCTCAAACAACGGTCCGCATTTTTGCTCCATCCCAACTCTCAGTTCATAAGGGATAAAACAAACGTGCACTGTCTAGAGGTCTCTAAAGACCCCTTTGAGAACTGTTGCTCTACACTTACTGTAGTATATTGTATCCTGTCAGAATGACTGTTGATCAAATTAACTTAATAGAGAGCTGAATATATGGCAGAAGTCAATAACTTCTGTCGACTAATTGAATTTGTGGTAAAGGTGATTGCGAGGACACCTGTGCATATGTCTGCACACATCTGCAGATGCAGACGTGTAATTCAGCCTTTATGTGGCCTTGTTTCAGGAGGGTCCTGGCGTCGCGGCGGCGATGACCGGCGGGAGGAGCGTAAGGACGATAGAGATGCTCCTCCTAGACCTCGTGAGCGAGATGGGGAGAGGAGTTCCTGGCGCTCTGACAAAGACAAAGACAACCCGCGCCGCACCAAGAACGAGACCGATGATGATGGCTGGACCACGGTCCGCCGCTAAAGGCTCAAAGCATCTCCTTATGGCCTCCACAGCCTTGATCTATTCTCTAATCTCTTTAGTATTGTGACGATAACTTCTCTGGCATACGTTAACAAAGCTGTCGCATAGTTATGAAATCCGAATTGTCATGCCAAACATGGTGAGGGCCTTTTTGAAAAACAGCTTGACTTCGAGCTCAAAGTAGATCATTCCCCTTTTGTTGTGCATGGTCAGAGCATTAAATTGGTCTGACTCAAAAAACATCGTGTTTTTTCCTGAACCAGTGTGGGGGAACATGGGGAGATTCTATAAAGATAAAACGAATTAAATAAATAATGACCTCAGATGTGTTGTGATGACTTCTGGTGTTGAAAGTTGTCAATCTTTTATCACAGTTGAATCCTCACTCTGGCTGCTGCTTCTCCCATGGTTGTGTGCTTTTTAGAATTATGAAAACTTTATTAATAAAGTCATTTGCTCAACAAATGACAGTTTCTGTAATCTCTTATTTAAGTATGCATACACTGAATGGAACCTGATCACTTTTGTACACTGATCCAGCAGTACCAGATATATAGGATGTTACTCTGCAATTGTTCTGTACCGCCAGTAGGTGTCAGTAGGTGCATACACAGATGTAATGTGATTGCCTTTATAGGTTTTGTATTGAACAGTGTTTCCCAGATCTGACTGACACTCCGCACATTCTAATGCTCCTAATCCAAAACAAAAAAGTGGACAAATTTTGATTGAGTTAGTAAAAAATTAAATATTGACCAAATTTCTGACATTTCAGATTTATTTTTTGCGTTTATTTATGGACATAAAAGGCTCAACATGAAGTTTTGAACAAAACAATAGACCAGTCTTTAATTGTCACGGAGTTCACTGATGTCTTAAATATTTTGCAAATCATACTGCAATTGCAATGTGTATCAACATTATATTGATAAGATTGTGTACTGCTGGTTTTAGATGCTGAAGAAATGGACGATCAGGTAAATCTGATTGGAAAGGGTTAAGTGATGTTTGGAAGCCTATCATTCCTACAGTACTAAAATCTGTTAGTATGACTTTTAACAACGACCATAACATGAATACCACAGCTGAATAGCAGGTGACGGTAAGTAAAAGTTAAATTAGGAATGATAAACAAATATTGTGTAGGGCGTCCCTTTGTCCTCAAAACTTTGCCTCAATTCTTCATAGGATGGATTCCACAAGATGTTGGAAACATTCCTTTCAGATTCTGGTCCATGTTGACATGATTGCATCATGCAGTTCCTATAGATTTTTTAGGTCCACTTTTTTATGCTGCACATCTCCCGTTCTTACCGCTCTACCACATCCTGAAGGTGTTCTATTGGATTCAGATCCGGTGACTGAGAACGCTACAGAAGAACACTTCACTCATTGTCATGTTCTCGGAACTAGTCTGAGACGAGTTCTTCCTTGTGACATGGTGCATTATTAAGCTGGAAGTAGCCATTAGAAGATGGCAAAATTGTGGCCATGAAGGGATAAACAAGGTCAGCAAGAAATCAAATAGAATGTGGCATTTAAGTGATGAATGATTGGTTTTAATGGACCCAAAGAGTGCCAAAAACATTTCCCACGCCATTACACCACCTCCACCAGCCTGGACTGTTGGTGTCAAATTCTGACTCCACCATCATCTGTGGGCCTCAGCAGAAACCGAGATTCATCAGACCAGGCTATGTTTTTCCAGTAATCAAATGTCATCCAGTTTTGAGGCCCCACTGCAGCCTCAGCTTTCTCATCTTGGCTGACAGGAGTGGAACCCTAGCATGGTCTTCAGCTGTTATAGCCCATCCACCTCAAAGTTTGACGTGCATTCTGAGATGCTTTTTCTGCTCACCACAGTTGTACAGAGTGGTTATCTGAGTTGTCATAGCCTTTCTGTCAGCTTGAACCAGTCTGGTCATTCTTCGTTGACCTCTCTCATCAACTCCATCTGGAGGACTGCTGCCCACTGGATGTTTTTTTCTTTAATGTGCCATTCAGCAGTTACAGATATTAAAGTTACAGCAGTTACAAATATTCACACCAGCCCATCCAGCACCAACAGTCATGCCATGGTCAAAATCACTGAGATTACATTTACATTTCATCTTTATGTCTCAGTAGTAAGTGTGTTTTACCTTTAAAAACAACATATATCACAATACATTCAAAGAAACATAAATTAATAAAATAAAGTAAACTGTAACAAAAAAAGATATGAAAACATAGTGGATATTTTATTAGCTGGTTAGAAGTCTTGGTTCTGAATTTCTCAATGCTTCCAGCCATTAGCTGGATTTGTTAAATTCCCTCAGCAGCATTCTTGATTTAACTTAAAGCACTGATTAGCCAAACCAGATATTTGATGACAATTACAAATAATACAAAATATATAAAATATATACTCATGAGAAAAAAAACATTAACCTGCCTAATATGCTGTTGGTCCTTTTCCTGCCACCAAACAGCTCCAACCCACTGAGGCATGGACTCTACAAGACCTCTGAAGGTGCCCCGGTATCTTGCATCAAGATGTCACATCCTTTAAGCCCAATCATTGGTGAGGTGGAGCCGCAATCAGACTTGTTGCACCAGCACGTCCCCCAGATATTTGGTTGGATTGAGATCAGAAAATCTGCAGGCCTTGGCAACATGTTTAAGTCTTCGTCATGTTCCTCAGACCATTCCTGGACAAAAATGTGTGCAGTCTGGCAGGTGCATTATCCTGCTGAATGAGACCACTGCTGTTGAGGAATACCACTTCCATGAAGAAGCACCTGGTCTGCAACAATGTTTAGGTAGATGACATCTGTCAAATTGACATGCACAAGAAAGCCGGGACCCAGGGTTTCCCAGTAGAACAGCGCCCAGAGCATCACACTCCCTCCACTGGCTTGTCCTCTTACCACAGTGCATCCTGGTGCTTCCCCACATAAACGCTGCACACGTACCTGGCCATCCACATGATGTAAAAGAAAAACGGGTCTCAGGCGATCAGGCGACCTTCTTCCATCACTCCAAGGTCCAGTCCCGAAGTCTATCTGTCCACTGTAGGCACTTTCAATGCTGGACATGGGTTTGCATTGGCACTTTGACCAGTCTATGGCTATGCAGCCCTATGCTCATCAGGGTGTGCACTGTGTGTTGTGACACATTTCTCCAGTAACCATCATTAAACATTTCTGTGACTTGTGCCAGAGTAGTCCTTCTGTCAGCTTCTGTTGGTTTGGACCAGACAGGATAGCCCTTATTGCCCTTGTGCATCAATGAGGGTGCCCAACACCCTATCGCCTGTGTATAGTTTTGGACCACTGTCAAACACATCAAACTTTGAGGTGGATGGGCTACAACAGCAGAAGCCCATGTTAGGTTCCACCACTGTCAGCCAAGAAGAGAAAACTGAGGCTGCCACCTGGACTTTTGATGACTGGAAAAACATAGCCTCGTCTGATGAATGTCAGTGTCTGCTGAGGCACACAGATGATGGTAGGGTCAGAATTTGGCACCAACAGTATACAAACAGTATAAATCCATGGAGCTAACCTGCCTTATGTCAACAGTCCAGGCTGGTGGAGGTGTTGTAATGGCATGGGGAATGTTTTTTGGCATTCTTTGGGCCCATTAAAACGTATTCACCACTGCTGACGGGGAGCACCGCACAAACCTTGCCGTTTTGGAGATGCGATTTGGCCCTTGTCAAAGTCGCTCAGGTCTTCACGTCTGCCCATTTCTTCAACATCCTACACCTTGGCTACAAGAACCAACTGTTTGTTTACCATCTAATATCATCTATGGTATACCAGACTTTGACATGCACCACTGTTATGACATTATTAAGGTTATATGTGTGTGTGCTTGTCTTGCTATACTTGTGAGGACAACATGACAATTTTGGTCAAGTGAGAACATTTTGCTGGTCATCACTTAAGCATGTGTTTTCACCTCAAATTATATGTTTTTTGGAAAAGCTGGAGGAGCAGAAAATTGCTTTTTGGATACTGAGGTTAAGGTTAGAGTTTGGTTTAGGTCTAAGTGTAGTATTACTTGGCTACAGTAAAAAAAAAAAAAAAATAGAAATCAAAAGAAGTCCTCACTTGTAATGTGTGTGCGTGTGTTTGTACACATTTACTGGCCACTTTATCATTTTTAAATCTACACTTATGGTCCATTTTATCAAGTCCACTTACTACCTAGGTGCTTTTTGTTTCTCTGCATCTTTGTACCCCGTTCATTGATGGTCAGGACCCATACTGGACCACCACTGAGCAGGTATTGTTAGGACGGTGGATCATTCTCAGCACCACAGTGGCTCTAATATAGTGACCACTGATGAAGGATTAGAAGATGACTAACATGAACCTTGCACTGGCCAATAAGGTGGGTGTGTCTAATAGAGTGGACAGTAAGTGTATGATTTAGTTGTTTCTGTAAATAACTATTAGACATTTATATCTGATGTAGTAACACAACACAGACATACAGCGCAGTGTTCAGATGGTCCATGTCGGAGGACCACACACAGCTCTTCCCCTGTTTTAGCTTCAGTGCTTTAATCCCTGCCTGCTTCTCCTCAGCGGGGCTTTCTTTAGCTCTCGGCGGGGTGAGGCACTTCTGCACGGAGAATATCGCTTTCCAACAAAAGGACACAACAGAATGAAACATTTCAGCGCTTAAAGGACGACATAGGGGATTTTTTGTTTGCTGCGTTTTAGTGGAAAATCCCCAGTTAGGGACAATAATCCCCCCAACAGGAGCGGTCAGTTCCCACGGCGGAGGTGATGAACTCTCTGACTGGACTGCACTGGACTGAGCTCTGAAAGCTCTTCCTCCTCTCGGCCTGTGTAAACTCGCCCAACCTCAGTGTTCATAACCTGTGACTCTGAGAGCTGCTGCTGTTTGGACGTTAAGATCTCCGTCTGAAGCCTCTGAACTGGAGGCGTTTCGACTGTTTAGAGCTGAAAAAAACGTGTCCTGGTCGTTGGGAAAGAAAGCTGTTGCGAATGAAGGCTGTTTTCCAGCTGCTGACCTGTAGATACAGAGCGGGTTATGAACCGTCCAGTTGAATGGGACAAAAGAACAAACTCTGATTTGCGTCGATTCCTTTGAAAAATGAGAAACTGTAACGAGGCGGTTACTTTTAAAAAAAAGCCAACGAGAAATGTGATAAAAGACTCTGATTCAGGGCCCGCAGTGTGAAACACGGAAACTCAGCTCATCTTAGAAATAGAAGGCACAGTTTTTTTTAAAGAGCTCTGCTGTTCAGTAGCCTTAACGCAAAAACTGGGAGTTGTATGTATTATAGATTTAAGTTGACCTGACATTCATTCATTCATTCATTCATTCATTCATTCATTTATTTATGTTTGTTTTATTTGTTTATTTAACTATTTATTGCTGTCATTTTTAGTGTGTCTTCCATATTAATGTATACTGTCCTGTAATACCCATTACATGTTAATATATACTGTCCTACAACACCTATTACATATTAATATAAATTATTCTATAATTCTTATTGCATAGTAATACTGTCCTACAGTGCCTATTACATATTAATAGCCTATACGCTATCCCTTTAATACCTATTACATATTAAAATATACTGTCCTATAATACCTATTATATTTTAATAAATGCTTTCCTATAATACCTATTAGATGTTAATATATACTGTCCTATAGTACCTATTACATGTTAATAAATGCTGTCCTATAATACCTATTACGTGGTAATATATACTGTCCTATAATATCTATTACATATGAATATATTCTGTTCTATAATACCTATTACGTTAATATACACTGCCCTATAATATCTATTGCATATTAATAGCCTATACACTATACACTATCCTAT